TTAACGAGTAAACTTTGTTTTCTAAAATTGCTGTTATGTAAAATGAATCCTTTATAAATGACCATTAATGAGCACCATACATTCTAAGGTTAGTGTAGTTCAGTATCTTTTTTTTTTTTTTAAGATTTTATTTATTTGACAGAGAGACAGAGATCACAAGTGGGCAGAGCAGCAGGCAGAGGTGAGGGGGGGAAGCAGGCTCCCCGCTGAGCAGAGAGCCTGATGCAGGGCTCAATCCCAGGACCCTGAGATCATGACCTGAGCCCAAGGCAGAGGCTTAACCCACCGAGCCACCCAGGCGCCCCTGTAGTTCAGTATCTTAAATATTATGGAAAGATGCGAAGATTCTAGAAGTTGTAAGAATTTAAAATTCAAATGTGGACTTAATATGCACTTTCTTGTGGCAGTGTTATCTGAGGTCCAAGAGTAAGTTTGTATGTGTCTTTGTGTGTGTTTATTTTCCCCTATATTATGTGGGATTCTGAGTAGATATGAAAGCAGCTGACAGCACTAGATAAAGATGATTATAGTGAAGAATTTAATCGATAACCATTTTTATCTCAGCAACACACATTACACCTTTAAAAATTATTTGCACAAATGTTTATTCTTAGCTGGTCTCTATAAATAAGACTGAGATCTGTGAAGAGTCAGAAAAACATTAGAGGAGAAGGAGCAATTCCAAATGTCAAAAAAAAAAAAAAAGTGCTGTGGTCAAGCGTCAGCACTGAGTCTCTCCTGGAAGATATGATACCACAAGATCACCCCAAGCCACAGCGATGTCATTTCTCACATCAATTCTGCAGGCATATGGAACTCGTCTCTTGGGAGAAATTTCAAATTAAATCCAAGCACACCATTGATAAAATAGTAAAATGATGTTTCTGATGAAGAATACATTATAAAATTTAATACTAAAATACCTTAGGAAAAAAACCTGAATCTGTAATGAGAAATCTTTCATATCTGTACATATTAGTGACTTCAAACATGTACTAGGAAGTGAAGAATTTATTTTAGGAATGTTATACCTGAAAAGTGTGGGGTAGTGATTGAAAGACATGAAAGGACAGTTTTAAAAAATAGTGTTATTTTTGAAAGAGTAATTAGCTAGCTAAAAAAATAAGTACTTTCCCTACACATAGTAAAATGAACAGGTGTACTGTTTTAGGAACAGGTGTATCTCTAAAGCAATCATGGGGCCCACGGGTGTGGGCTGAAGTTGGTCAAAGACCATTGCTAGTCTATATCATGAAAACCACTGGTACTTATTTCAAGGGGATCCTAAAATGGAATTATCGTATCTATAAGAGAAGTGTGTTGATTAACAAGTGAGAAAAACAGGGTATGCCAATAACCAGTTTGGTCAGTCTGTGTGTGTTTCTCTCCCAGGAAGTATGTATATGCATTGCGTGTGTGTGTTGGAATTTTTGAGCTAGTAATAATAGAACGTGTAGTCTTGATATTCTGTCAAGATATATCTTTTCATGTTCTCCTACAGTATGAATGACTGTTTTAAAGTTTTATCTAGCCTTCAATGGGACAAGAACAGAGGAAAGATGTTATTACCTGAACTCAAGGCACTTTAAAGAAAGTGTACGCAGATTTGAAGAGTGTGGAGCAATGGGTCTGTCTATGGCCTTGGGACTCAAGAGAGAAATTCACCAAGTGGAGGGTGATTTCTAAGGAAAGGAGACCCTTTCATTGACAAAGTTTCCTTTTAATGTTGAACGCTAGTCTCAGTGATCATATGTGTGTGGTGTGTGTGTGTGTGTGTGTGTGTGTTGAAGTAAGATTGCTGATCTCCTAACAAGGTATTAGGGGTAAAGGTAAAGGTTACCTTCTCTAATTAAATAATTGCTCATGAATTTCTAAAATGTATTTTTAAAAGAACATATATCTCTTTGTATGAAATTGGGACTATTAAGCAAAATAAAGCTAAAAAACCATTTATGGCATTGACTGTTAAGATCATTTTAGATCTTCTCTAGTATACACAGGAATTATTTTGGATTTCTTCATTTTTACTTGTGTTTAAAAATACTTGTGTCTTTTTTTTAAATCGAATTATGCATGAGAGTTAGTCTTTATTTTCCATCACCTCACTAAACCATCATGAGTTAATTTTCATTCATTAGGAAACAAATCAGGAGAGATTTAGTGACTTTTCTGAGCTACGTAAGGGGTGTATCACGCATTCAGACTGTGGCCTGGAAAGTTCACTTGGCAGCCCATATGTGCCTGTACTATATATCTCAGCAAATTATTCTGACATTATTATGAAACTAAAAATAAACTCCTAATAAACCAAAGAAGTACATTATCCATTAGTCCTGATGGAAACCATATACAGTCTCAAATCTTTTTTTTTTTTAAGATTTTACATATTTATTTGAGAGAGAGAGAGTGAGAGTGAGAGAGCGAGCAAGCATGAGTGTGGTGGGGGGGAGGGAGAAGCAAACTCCCCGCTGATTAGGAAGCCCAACAGGGGGCTCGATGGGATCATGACCTGAGCCCAAGGCAGACGCTTAACTGACTGAGCCACCCAGGTGCCCCATACAACCCCAAATCTTTAAAAGCATACAATGCACACTAAATGAGCCACACAATGATGCTCCCATCCACAGGCCTAATTTATTCCTTTTCTTCGTATTTCCTTTATGAGATGGTTTATGAATGTTTATCAGGAAGAGTTTCTTCCCTCCTTTTCTGAAACGGTGGGTGAGCACATGCTCTGAGCATCACGGCCGTAGATGTTCTGTATGTAGGCCAAGCTCGCAGGAAACAGCGCAGAGAGATGAAATACATCCAGGAGAGTGTGGGAGAGTACTGGAAGATGAAATGGAAGCTGGAAGAAGAGTTGCAGAAATGCCTCCATGACTTTCTGGAAGCTGCCGTCGGCAAAGGTGGTGTGCCCACATGTATTCGTGGCCAATTAACAGGGAAAACTTGTTTTTTGCAGGTTAGGAACAAACCAAAAAATAGTTCTTTTTAACGGGCTACAAAGACAGTGATGGCTGTTAGCACATTCTTAGTCATAACAAATAATGATCACCAAGGGCTATCCTGGTACATTTTTACCTGTGGTGTCTAATTTATAAGTCACAGGTAATTCCATAATTTCTTTTTAATAGTTAGTGGCAAGCTTCATCAGTGTCTCCCAACCTTTTCAAAAACACTGGCCATCAAAAATTAGCAACACTAAAAAGTTTCTATTAGCACACTCTTAGGTCTTCTAGTGATGATTATAATTATGTTAAAAAATGAAGAAAAAAGGAGCTCATCACATTACTCTGATTTCATGATTTAGAGGTGCTAGTCAAGAATACCCAGAATTTCAGAAATGCCTCTTAATTTAGAGAAGAGTATCGTAAGTAAACTGTGTATCACATAAGCCTTAATTTTATTACACCCTCTGACGTTTCATCCTTGCATACTTGTATTATGGTATGGACTGAATTGTGCCTCCCTGAAATTCATGAATTCATCCCTGAAGTTGAAGTTCTAACTTCTGAGGTGATCTGGAGATGGAATCTTTGGGAGTAATTAAGTTTTGATGTGAGGTGGGCCCCCCAAAGTGGGATTAGTGCCCATATAAGAAAAGACATGAAGAAGATTTTTCTCCCTCTCTTCCTCCCTCTCTCTCTCTCAGCCATGTGGGGACACAGTGAGAAGATGGTTGGTCTGCAAGTCAAAAAGAGGATCTCATTGGAAACCGACATTTAATCTTGGATTTCTAGCCTCCAGAATTGTAAGAAATTAATTCTTGTTGTTAAGGTCACCCAATCTATGGTAATTTGCTCTGGTAGCCTGAGCTAAGACATGGTATTAGCCAAATTCCCTAAAATTTTTTGAAAAGTAACACGATAAACCAGTTTGTTAATTTAGACTCTAAATCTACAACAACTCTCAAAGAAGATGTAGAAATGTTGTACATTCAAAAACTCATTATCTGTTGAGTTAACTTATCAGTCATTTATTTATCTAAATATTTTAAAATTTTATTTTATTTTTTCAGTGTTCCAAGATTCATTGTTTATGCACCACACTCAATGCTCCATGCAATACGTGCCCTCCTTAATACCCACCACCAGGCTCACCCAACCTCCCGTCCTCTCCCCTCCAAAACCCTCAGTTTGTTTCTCAGAGTCTACAGTCTCTCATGGTTCATCTCCCCCTCTAATTTCCACAGAAATCAGTTGCTTTCTTATACATTAACAATGAAAATATAGAAAGGGAAATTCGAGAATTGATTCCATTTACTATAGCACCAAGAATCATAAGATACCTGGGAATAAATCTAACCAAAGAGGTAAAGATCTGTACTCGAGAAACTACAGAACACTCATGAAAGAAACTGAACAAGACACAAAAAGATGGAAAACCATTCCATGCTCACAGACTGGAAGAATAAACATTGTTAAAATATCTATACTGTCCAAAGCAATCTATACTTTCAATGCCATCCTGATCAAAATTCCACCGGGATTTTTCAAAGGGCTGGAACAAAAAATCCTAAAGTTTGTATGGAACCAGAAGAGACCCTGAATTGTTAAGGAAATGTTGAAAAAGAAAAACAAAACCGGGGGCATCATATTGCCTGATTTCAAGCTTTACTACAAAGCTGTGATCACCAAGACAGCATGGTACTGGCACAAAAACAGACACACAGAGCAGTGGAGCAGCGTAGAGAGCCCAGATATGGACCTGCAACTCTATGGTCAAATAATCTTTGACAAACCATGAAAAAATATCCAGTGGAAATCAGTTATTTATTTAGATATATCCCAGTGTCACAGAGCAAGACATCAGGACACCTGGGTCGTACCTTGGGATTTTCTCCCGGTTGCTATCCAGCCTTGGGAAAGCCTCTTCATAGCTCAGATGGATTAGTTAATTTCTTCTAAAAATGATTGTTTTGAAACATTCCCAAGGCCCCTTCCAGTCTCAAAGTTCTACTATTAGTGCACTTTAAATAATGGAAGGCAACTCACACTCACCATTTTGTTCTCGCTGTACACCTGCCGCCAGAAGATCGGGCTCACCAAGGCTGATGTCATTGAGGCGGGTCCCCAGACACTCCATGCAGAGGTGTTTGCACCACTCCTCGGCCTCCAGCTCTGCAAATGAGCACACACCACCAAAGTCAGGCAGTGCTGTGAGGAACAACACAGGAAGATAACTTCCTGAACCATTTTCCTAGGTAGGTGGTAAGAGTTAAAAATCTACCTGAAGAAAACAAAAAAACCATAGTTTGGCTCTTAGGGACATTGCTGCTATGAACACTGGGGTGCAGGTGCCCCTTCGGATCATTACATTTATATCTTTGGGGTAAATACCTAGCAGTGGAGATAGCCTAGATGTCCATCGACAGGTGGCCCATATGTACAACGGAATACTACTCAGCCATCGGAAAGGGTGAATACTTACCATTTACATCGATGTGGATGGAACTGGAGGGTATAATGCTGAGTGAAATAAGTCAATCAGAGACAGGAAATTATCATATGGTTTCACTGGCATGTGGAATATGAGAAACAGAGCAGGGGTTCATAGGGGAAAGGAGGGGAAACTGAATGGGAAGTCATCAGAGAGGGAGAAAAACCACGAGAGGGTTGCTGGAGGGGAGGTGCATGGGGGATGGGGTAATTGGGTGATCAGCATTACGGAGAGCACATGATGTAATAAGCACTGGGTGTTATACACAACTGATAAATTACTGAACACTATATCTGAAACAAATAATGTACTATTAGTTGGCTACTTGAATTCAAATAAATTTTTTAAAAAAGAACACAAAAAAGCCTATATTCGAGAAGTGAAAAAAATCCCCACAATTATTTCCCAAGGGTTGACATTATAACATTTTTAAAAGTGATCTTAAGATGTTCCAATGCATTTTATATTATTTAAAAATAATAGTCTGAGAATATTGTTTACTATTTAGTATATCTTAGATTGATTTAATTTTTGGAGGGCGAGTACTCAGAAAAAATAATTAAATATAAAATAAAAATATGTAAATGAATACTCGAGAAATGTCAGACTAAGATAAATGAGCAAATGCTTTCCTGAATGCGACTAGATCTGTGTGCGTCGAAGCTCTGCTCCTTCATTCTGAACTGAAATGAGTCAAAGATCAGCACGAGAATGTGGTAACCTCTCTTCTGTAAACATCAAAAATGGCCCTCTTTAAAAAAAAATTGGAGTAGGATATTCAAAGTAACTTTCCCTTTTAGAAAACTCCAGTTACCTAAGATACTGGTTATCTTCCAACTTCTTTATATTCGCAAGTTTATTCTTTGCTCGAAACATTGGAACATCTTACACCTACACAAAATCTTGTAGTATCTCACACTTCCACAAACATAAGCGAATTTGATTCTTATATAAGCCCTGTGTGGGTGAGGTGGGTAAGCAGTGTCACACGTGGGTCTCCTATCACTGGTCAGCACCAAGACGGGAAATGCAGCCCAGATCCTGTAGATACTATAATACGAAGAATCTGAAAAAGGGTATGAGGTTCACAATTGGGGGCCAAGCCCCAAAACTGCTGTCCAGAATTTGGATGAGAACTTTCCATTGACACCTGCCCAGAGAAATTTCTGACTTTTCCACGTAGCATAAATCTGTACTAGGAGAGTCTAATATAGATTTCCTTCAAATCTCTTGTTACTCTCCGCGGATGACATTTCAACCTTTGCCTTGGCATTTTAAACTGCCCATAAAAAGTCATCTGTGACAGGTTTTCTTGACTCCAGGGGTTTGAATACCAACTGCTCTGCTCCATGGTTGACACCAGCAAACCTGGGTAATGTTTTCTTCCTGGGCTCAGTCACACTATCTTAGCATCAAAACTAGGTTTGATCAATGAGATGTCAAGCCAAATTTGTCATTTATTTCTAGTTTTATCAAGACCATAAAATACTGTTAGAAAAAAAAGAAAAAGAGCACTTAGTCCTCTACAGGGTACTAGTCTAATGAAAACAGTAGTTCCCATGCTCGAGGCATGAAAGTTGTTTTCTTTACGTAACGTGCAGTTCCCATATTTCATAATGCAGCCTCTCAGTGGTTCTAGACACACCATCCACCTGGGGCTGGGAGGAAGTAGGTTCTCATTGAGCCTGGCCTCCTGCTCAGGTGGAATCAGAGCCTAGGTCTGGCTGCTTTGGCCTTTCCTTGGGAATCTAGTAAAGAATCCTTTCCGATCACAAGGCCACTAATACACAGATGGGGCACTGGCTGGGGCTCACAGTTTTCCACAGAAAATCTTCTCTAGTGAGGGAATGCCAGCCCTCCTGAGAAAATTTTACAGGAGCAGTGGCAGCATTGTATTGAAAATTATTTTCATCAGATAGAGGGGTTTTGATTTATAAGATTTATAAAAGTTTGGAAAGCTTTTCCAACAACAAATCAAAATCTCATGCCAATTTCCATGCCGTGTCTCTAGACATCCTTGATGTTTCTGTGAAGGGAGATAATATGACTGCATTTTTCCTTTTTCACATTTTTTATGTCTTGAATATTTCTCAAGACCGCACAATTTTAAACCATCAGGAAAATCATATGCAATTAACATCTCCTCTGCATGACTCGACCTGAGAGTACCTCTGATACTCCATAGATAGAGCTGAGAGTACCTAGGATGCTGCTTGGGGTCAGAATAAAAATGTGAAATATGACAGACACCTTTGGGCCAGCGTTCCCTTGAAATACGAAGTCAGCGCATGCCCAGAAGTTGCAGAAACATGGCACTCAATTCTATTAATTCTTTTGTCCTAGGATTCAATAAGACAGAGAAAATAACCATCCAGTAAAGGGATTCTCCGAGGCTAGAGAGAATCTCATGCTCTCAGAGAGAACTCAATGGGGCATTTGCGTAAGAACTAGGGAGTCTCCCGTGGCCGAAATGAGGAGTGTTCCTGGGCTTAAAAATGTCTTTTATATCAAATCCTAAGAATCGCAATACTTCAGTTTTTAATAGTGCAGTAGCATGTAGGGATAGAAGTAGCAAAAGTAATAAAAGTAGAGGATATATAGTCACATGAAAGAAAACTGTAAACAATTTCAGAAAGAGAGAGAGAAACAGAGAGAGGGAGAAATCCTGGCAATTTAGTAGCAGCAGAAGTTCATTCCTCTTCTAAGAAAAACTTAACCATGAAATCGCTATAAACAAGGCACTGTTCTGTGCTAGGAGGTTATATGAAAAACACACAGTGTCTGTGGTCTGCAGCGTTCGGCTCGTGGGGTGGGCAGGTGCGTTCAGGACGCAGTGCCCTGCAGGGCTACGGGCTTGGCTCGTAGGAACCGGGAGCTGTGGCAAAGGCCGAGCAGCTTGGGAGGAACGAGATCAGGCACGAGCCGGACAAGCAGAAAGAAGGGGAGGGGATGTCAGAGTGTGCGTGTACGAGTGTGAGAGTGTGTGTGTGTCTGTGAGTGTGTGGCAGTACATGTGTGAATGCGTGTGTTTGCTAGTGAGGAGGTATTAGTGTGTGTGAGTCTGTGACAGCGTGAATACAAGTGTGTGTGTGTTTTAGTGTGTGGGGGTACTTGTGACAGTGTGTATGAACGCGTCCGTGTAGGAGTGAGGGTGTCTGCTTGTGAGAACGTGCGAGGCTATGTGTGGGTGTGGGGACGTGTTTGTGTGAGTGTGCTAGAGGAACGACGCTGGACTGAGGAGGTGGCCAGGGGCCAAGGCCGAAAGGCATCTCCTGGGATCTTATGAGCATCCAGGGCAGCCCGGACTTCATGCAGCAGACTCCGACAGTCAGCGCTGTCCCTTCTCTTCACAGTACAGGAGTGCGCCCCAGATCCACGGGTTCCGTCACCCAAACACGGCTGCAACCAGCTGATCCTCCTCTGATACAGATCAGGAGGTCACAGTAGCCGAACACACGTCACAACACCCACGTCACTCACGTCCCCGCATCTTACCACGGGGCATTTTCTCATCTCCCCTCATCACAAGACGGGCGGGTACTGCACAAGGTATCTCGAGAGACACCACATTCACGTAACTTTCATTAGAGTATAATTGTTTATTTTATTATTGTTGTTAATCTCTTACTGTGCCTAATTGGTAAATAAAACCTTCTCATGAGTATGTGTGTATAGGAAAAAAACACAGTCTAATAGGGATTGGTTCTATCCCTGGTTTCAGGCATCCACTGGTGTCTTCAACTGTACTGTCCAGGGAAAAGGGCGGAGCTGTGGTACCACTGAGTTCAATGAGATCAGCCCCAAACCTTTATCTCACAAGCACTAAGCTTTGTAAACTCCATACTTGATTGAATAGTTTTGTTCCAAATAACCTGAATTTGTTTAGGTATTATATAATAATTTGTTTTTTTTTTAAACCTGTTTTTGATAGTCACCTTTCAGATAATTATACCTATGCTTTTTATTTGTTCTTAGGAAAACTATGTATTGAAGTCCTTTAATCTTTTATGGTATGTTCATTTATTTTGTCCCATCATTACTTAACTAGTGTTTATCTCTGAATTATCTTCCATTTTTTACTTTCTCTATTTTATTTTTCCAGAACAGAGGAGATTAAATACAAATGCAATCATCTAAACCCATTGCACTTTAAGATGTTTATTTCCCACAGACTTGGTGCCTTTTGTCTTTCATTTTATCTTTCAAACTTGTACCTACATGTAGTGACTAAATAATTAAATTTCTTCAGGGGCGCCTGGATGGCTCAGTTAGTTGAGCTTCCTACTTTTGATTTCCATCTATGCTGTGATGGGGGCGGTTGGGATTCAGCCCATGCAGGGCTCCCCACTCAGTGGGGACTCCGCTTGTCCCTCATCCTCCCCCTAAGTGCACTCTCTCTCTCTCTCAAATTTAAAAAAATAATTAAATTTCTTTAAAGAGAAATATAGGCACGAAAGTGTTCTATGATGCTTTCTACGTTTTCTCTTCATGATGGAAGTGCTTTTTCTTTAAGATGTCTTTTTCATATAGCTTGCAGGTATGCTCAAATTTTTTAATTCTGGTAAGTACTTTTTCTCTAGAACTGACACCCAAATAATGTTTTCATTATGTATAAAATGAGTTAAACGAAGAAGTTTGGTAACTTCCAAAAGAAAAAATTGGAAGATGTTTGGGGATCACC